AAACAGTGGGGAGAGCTCATCAACCAATGCCCATTTTTAAAGCAGAACCTGTTCCCTTCCAACTAGGGAACGTTATGGAGCAATATATATTTTCACTCGTCAAATGTGCCCCAATTCGCCTGACAGGACAAGATCTTCTTGAAACCAAGGATGCCCACGTATGCTTTTTCCAGAAGGGTGGAATGTACTTAGAACTAAATAATGCAGATACTGATCCCCCCATGGGATTCCACAGGAGGAAACTGTCCTGGAGACAGACAGAACGCTCTTTATAGGACATTGCAACGCAGCTGCAGGCCTTCCCCAGTCACGAACACCCTTTATGCACCGGCTGGAATGTAGCCCATTATAAAAGGTAGCCTTAAAAAGGGGGGGGGGTTATAATTCCAAGTATGAGCCCCTGTGATTCTGTCCTTCCAGTGAAAAACCAAACACCCTAACGGGAAAGGACGGAGATTTGTACAGGACCCCACAGCTTCATGGGGTGGAGCAGGGCTGGGAGTGGGCAAGACTCCTTCCTTGTGAGCGGTGCCACAGGTGAGGACAGGGGCCTGGAGTGGAAGCAGGTGGGGTAGGGGGCCAAACCCCTCCTGCCCCTGGAGAGACACAGGTTGTTCGAGGTCTCTTGGGGCCGAGCAGCCCCGGCCACTGACCACACACCTGCTGCGGCCGCCAGCACAGTGCAGTGGGCACGTCCAGGTGCGCTGGGGCTCGGGCCCTTTAAAGCCCCGGGGCCCTCCCAGGCCCCTCCGTGGGAAGACAGAGAAAAGACCGGAGAGGAAGGGACCCCCACCCACGCCAGGAGTCCCGCCGGCAGTGTCCCTGCTAATGAGGGGGTAGGGACGCGGGAGAGGCATCGTGCGGCGAAGGGGGACCTCAGCCGTGTCCGGGAGAGCCAGAGGATGAGTGCGCGCGAGGAGGAGTCGCCGCTGGGAACGAGCCCAAAGGAAGACCGGCCCCCACCCGGCCCGCGGGGCCCGCGGCGGCCGCGGTGCTGGGAGCGGCGGAGGCCTTGGAGCCGCGCCAGCGCCGGCCGCGCCCGGGCTCCCAGTCCCACTCGGAGGGGCCCCGTCGCTCTCAATCCCGAACTCTGCCGTGCGTACTTTTCACTCCACGGGTGAGAAGACGCACCCCCGGCACCTTGCCCCCGTCACAAGGCTGGTAAGCGACAGCGCGACGGAACCGGCCGCGACTCGAGTCGGGCACTGCCCCCCGCGGCGCAGTCTGAGTGGTTAACACGACCGAGAAGGAACTCCTTAAACGGAGTCGCGTGACTTGCAAGGGAACCAAGCTCGCTCTCTCCGATTCCGTTAAATTTTAAAACGGCAACCCAGCTGCCTGGGAGACAACGACAAAGACACACGAGACGCGCAGACCCCAAGATTCAGGACTCGGAGAGCCGCACGCGACACGCAGTGCGCCGGCGCGGCCCACCGGACCCCGCTCCGCCCCACCCCGGCCTCAGGGTCTGGGGGACCCGAGGTCGCCGGGAAGCTGCGCGTCCCGCCTGGCCTCCGCCCCGCCGGGGCCCGCGACCCGTGCGGCCGCTCACCGCCGCCTGCCCTGCCCGGTCGCGCCCGGGGCTCTCTCGGGCGCGGGCTGAGGTGACACCCCAGCCTCGGGCCGAGGGGGGCTCCTCCCGAAGCCGGAACCGACCCCGCACCCGGGACGGGCGTCGCTCCCTCCCGCACCCCTCCACTCCCCCGCAGCCCGCACCTTCTCCTCATGGCGAACGCTCCCGGGGACCGGACGTGGGAGTCCGGGACCTGCTCCACACAGCACCGAGCGCAGCAACCGACGACCAGGACAGCTCGCACGGGATTGCTGCCGCGCGAGCCGTTAGGCAGCCAGGGATTTCAAACCAAGCCGGGAGGAAGAGCGGCCCTGCGATTGGCTCGTCGTCCCGTCACTCTCGCGAACCCGCCCTCGCCCCGCCCCCTGGGCGTGGGCGAGCGCAGAGCCCGGCCTCCGCTGCGGGCAATTCCAGGTTCCGTCGCCAGCTGCTCCAGCGCGGGCGCATGCGCTGATCCACGCCCCGGTGCGACGGGCTTTCCCGGCTCCGCCGCAGACGTGGCTCTCCGCCGCGCGAGCCCGCCCCTGGCCGGAGCCCCCGCCCCGCCGCCTCTCGGAGTTGTTCGCATTCCTAGCCAAGAAGGGGCGAAGAGCGCAGTAAGGCGGACCTCTCAGGTCGTGGTTTTCTTTAAAATTCCTCAGGTTTATATCATTGTTACGAACATTTTAAAACTCAAAATTGACAGTACTTTTGTACCTCTTGCTGAACATGCTATATTCCGAATGATTATAAATCAGGTTTTTTTCAGTGATGATAGCCTAATAAGTTGCATAATAGCCTGGCATGTGGATATCTCATAACTATTTTGCTAATGAGGGATACTTAGATTGTAATTTTTGCACATAAATGTCTTCAGACACGAATCTTTGCATCGTGCAGTTTTGTATGCTGACTGCTGCAAGTTTAACTACTGAGCGCTCCCTTTGCAGAGAGGTGTATTAATTTGCCCTCCTCACCAAGGAAGCCACACCAGCAGAGTATGGTGCAGTTACCCTTAGCGGCTCTACTACTGTCCTTTTAGACCTCTTTGCTAGTTTTGTAATGCAGTACCTTGGCCAGTTTTAGTATTAACACTTGTGCCTGCGCAGAGCCCGGTTAGATGGGCGTGGCTTTGACCCGTGATGTCTGGGAGGCAGCTCCCCCGGGCACAGCGCTAGAGCTTGGAGATGGTTCACTGCGCCTGCACGGTCGACCTTGGTGGCCAAGGAAGACAGAAAAATACAGGAGTGCGAGCAGGTGTAGCCAATTGTGGGAGGAGTGAGAAACGGGGTAACACAGGAGGTTCCAGACTGGGATTTAAACGCAAAGGTGGGCCGCCAAGTGGGACGGAGACAGTGCAGGACCTGGTGGGTCCACTCAGGGAGAAAAGGGGTGAAAGGACACTCGTGTGCCATGAGGAGGTGCCCCGTGGTTTTGGATTAATCACTGGAGATTGCAAACACAGGACACAGCCAATGGTGCTGGGAACCTCGGGAGGCCTGCACGGGCGAGTAAAGGTTACTGGGAGGAACTGGAAGAAGTGAGCTACGGACTTTCTATTTTTTTTTCCTTCTAGACAGTCCTTCTGGCTGGCATGCTGAGACTGGCTGAGCCGACAAAGGGAAAGGGCAGGACTGTGTGTTTCTGGGAGTATGTTTCTAAAGGGAGTGAGATTTAACAGCAGAATTCTGCTATTATTCTAAACCTGTGTAACTTTTAGGTAAATAATTCCTTTCCTTTCTACCAAACTCTGACATTGAAGGTCACCATTCCTGCCGGTGGCAGGCAAACTATAGAACAAGACCCCCCCATGGGGCAGGGGGGGACACTGTTTTCTGTGAGCTTCTCAGGCAGAACGTGGCACCTCTTTCTGTGAGTGGCATTTGCTGGGTTACAGCTGAAACCGCACATTCTCCCCACGGGTGCCGGCCAACTGTTACCTCTGGAGATTCTCTCCTTTGCCTTTTCCACGAAGGAAAAGTAAAGGATGCTTGTTTGGTTCTCGTTCAAGGCCAAATGGCACTGCCAACATCCTTTAACTTGTCAGCAGAGTGCCAAACGTTCGCCCACTAATACGGTGGCCCTCAGGCACTACTTGGAAATCTTGTGGCACTCTTTGTTGGTTAACTTGAGAGGTTTTCAGAGAGCTTCAGAACCCTGGCACTTCAGACATGTCCCCAGGGGCAGCACGGGGAGGGTGCAGAGAAGGAAAAGACAGCCTGGCCATCACGTCCTTTATGCTGCGGCTCCGAAGCTAAACCAAGTCGCAGAATGATTGCAGGGGCACTGTGAGCGGTGCTCCACGTGTGAAGCACTGTGTGATGTGTGCGCGCGTGCCAGACCCTTCCACGGGGACCTCCTGTGCCGCCTCGTCCGGTGTCGAGCCTGCGGGCGCCGCGTACCGCAACTGCGTATTCACTCGGCCCCAGTGAGACCAGCGCTGGACACGGTGCTGTCCAGATTCTCGCTAGATACTTGAGGTGTGAATCTTTCTCAGCTGATACGACATCATCGTCAGTGTGTGCAAGGAATACTTTTGATGATCCCGTGCCACAGGTTTGGGTGTTTCTCTTCATACGCGGCAGCACCGTGGAGTGGGGAACAGACAGGAGGCGGGGCACCTGGGACAGTCTTGCAGAACAATGGGCAGAGGCCCAGGTGAATGTGGGGGATAAAAAGAAAAAATCTGGGGTGCAGGATATTCCCATGTCAAGGGAATACGGGCAGAGGGACAGACTTGGGGATTTAAGGTGGGGACAGGAGGGTCGGGTTGGGAGCTTATTCCAGAAGTGGCCTCGCCACGTGGGAGTACCGGCGTGCGGCTCAGCGCTGAGACAGCGGCTTGAGGCCGCTGGAGGGGGTGACGACGACGAGGGACAGAGAGAGGGGAGATGCCGCACCAGGGACAGCAGGGGGGGTCAAAGGAGACCAGCGCGGCCCAGGAGACTGTGGGAGGTCAGAAAGACGGTCATGGAAGCGAGTACAAGAATTTCAAGAAGGAAAGGCTGGTCGTCATTGTGAGATCACATGAGAAGAGGCTGAGGGGCCGCTCCCGGAGGGGGTGCAGAGCACAAATGGGAACAGGTGCCTGGCGAGGAGGGCCACCCTGGTGACCCTGCTGGAGTGCCGCCTGCTGGTGCCCGGACTCGCCCTAACGGGACACAGTCCTTCCTTCTGCACCAAGAAACCAAACGCTGAAAATTGAAATGCCCCCTTAGGTTGAAACAACAGCAAACTTTTTCACAGTGTCACGGGTCAGAACTTTAGAACGGGAAGGGGGCTGACGGGCCGGCTGGGAAACCCACCTCCTGGTGTTCTGGAAACGCCAGTACTGGCAAGTTTCCGGAAGAGCCGGCGCAGGCCTGGGGCAACCGGAGTCCAGCTCGCAGAGCCCGGGACGCCCCACGGGGCCAGAGATGAGGGGGCCGCTCCAGGGCTAAACGCTCCATTTCAGAGTAGAGGCTTTATTTACAGTGACACCCGAACGAACGGGGTGTAGCGGGAGATCCTCCTCCCCCATAGCTTATCGGCAGGGCCTGTCCGCCACAGACCAGAAACAAAACTCCCTGGGGGCAGGCGCTGAGCTCTCCCCTCTCACTTGGTCCCTAAACCCCCGGAGCAAGTTCCGTGCTCCCCACCGGCGCTCGGCAGCGTGCTTGGGGGACACTGTTCGCCGCGCAGCGGGCAGCGCGTCCAGGGCCAGCTTCAGGCCTTCACCTCACTCATGGCCTCCAGGAGGCGGGCACTGTTGGTGACTGCTGTCGTCAGAAAAATGAACCTGTACCCTGAGGAGCCAAAAGCACCAGCACCCGTGAGTACGAGCAGGTCAGAGGACCCCGCACCGGCGGTGGCCGCACGGAACCACTCCGCCTCAGCTTCCCCAGCCGGGGCTGGGCCGCAGCACCGGGGCACATACTCGGATGCGGGGCTGCCGCGCCAGTGGTACGCAGACGGCAGCCGAGAGGCCTCCCTGAGCGCTGCCCTTCGTCCCCCAGAGCCCGCCCACGGAGGCCAGTTGTCACCATCCGGTTCTCTTACCTTTCTCTCTGCCCAGGAACCGCAGGGCTGAGATCTCAGAGAAAGTGCAGCCACCTAGGAACACCACCAGGATGAGGCGCAGGGACTCGCTGGACGCCTTGTCTTCCTTGGCCACGTCTGCGGAGAGCAGCCTGGACTCAGCTCTTCCCTGGCTTGGGAGCCCCAGGGGCGGGACCAGCCCCCTCGCCCTGCCCGCCCTGCCCACCCCGCCCGGCCCCGCCCTTCCCGGCGCGCACCTGTGAAGGCCAGCTCGCTGCAGTTCAGCAGCCGCAGCACCTCGTCCAGGCCCTGCCAGCTCCGCCGCTCCAGCACCTGGGAAGGCACGGGCGCCGCTTTCAGGTTAAGACAGGGCCGAGTATAGGGAAGGACGGTCGCCGTGGCCCAAGGGTCACCGTCCCTGCTCGTCACCATGCAATCACAACCTGCGACAGGCTGGGGACTCGAGAGAGCGGAGAGCGGGACACGCACGGGAGCGAGGGGCACCGGCTCTCACCTGCTCGATGACGCGGCAGCTGAGGGGCACGTAAGCGCCGCTGAACACGTAGGCCATGTCGCGTGGCACCTTGAGGTCATACTCGCCATCCACACGCGGGATCTGGAGGGCAAAGGGGACGCCATGAGGCGAGTGACAGCCCAGTCTGCAGTCATTCACATGGTTGGAGAAAAGTGGCGGGTCCCTAAGAGCTGTTCTTACTCCTGCTAAAGGGAGGCGCAGCCGTGGCCTGCAAAGAAGAGACTCCGCAAAGGTTCCAGCTCCGGGCAGTGCCGGCTGGCTCTCCTGACTGAGTCCCCACACTCCCTGGAGGGAAGGGCCCCCTCCGCAGGCCCCTCGGGGACACGGGGTGCGTCTGTCACTGCAGCGGCACTTGGCCTGTTCTCTGGCTCCTCAGGCACTTGCTCCCCGTTCACTAACTACACGGTTCTGCGTGTCCTGCCCCTTAGTAAACGAAGCCAGTGTTATCACGCTGTCAAAGACAGGGTCTCGATACAGACAGAACAACAGAAGGGCCTCTGTGCGTCCGAACCCCGCTCCGAGGACGGAACCCCGGCCTCCCCCGTCCGTCCCTGCCGCACGTACCAGATTCAGCTTCTTGCTGATGGCGCGAAAGTTGCTCCTCTTGGCCAGAGAGCTGAAGGCGTCAGTGATCTTCCCTGGGGAAGAAAACTGTGCTGGGTTTTACCTAAGTCTGCGGGCTCACAGCTCTGCCCCGGGCCACGCCGTTGGGGAAGGGACAGGCCCGCCTCTCCTCCACCCGCAGGGCCTGTCCCACCTCTCAGCCACCCGCCCACAGCGGCCTGGGACTGAGCAGGACACTCAGCATCCCCCCCCTCCCGTGGCCACCTGCGCCCGTCTTCCCCCTCCTACGGGGGCAGCTCCCTACAAAACGTGGCCTACAGGGCAACCCCGGTTTACTGGTCACGTGTATGGACTGCAGGGTCAAACCGACCCGGGTTCCCACGTGACTGAGTAACTCAGGGGGGGGGGGGGGGTCTCAGACAAGCCTCTTAACCTCTTCTACAGTTTCCTCCTCCGTAAAAGGAGACCAGACTCGCCTTCGTGAGGAGCTGTATTTAAAGGGCTCGGCATGTGCCGAGGGTGAGTGAGTGGCAGCGGCTCCCGCTGGCAGGGGCAGCCGTGGGTGGTGGCAGTGACAGTGGGGACCCCGTTCTCCTTCCGAGCCTTCCCTCCGCCCAGGAGCTCTGCCCGTGGAGGGGAGGGGAAGGGAGGCGAGACGAGGCTCCCTCCGGCGCTCCCTGCTCACCGGCAGCCTTGTCTGTCACCAGCTTGCTCACTCGGCTCTCCACAGCCGTCAGGGTGTCCCCAGGGGCCTGCTCGGTGAGGAGTCCCGCTCGCCGCAGATTGGAGAAGGTCAGCAGGTGCTCGGGGCCGTAGCTCTGAAGGAAACGCAGTCAGTCTCTCCCGGGCGCCCACCCGGGGTCTAGCCCTGCTTGGTGACACGGTGACACGGAGGGGATGGTGGGGATGGGGGAGGGGTGTGCCGTCTGTGCCTTGAGGAGCTCATGCTTATTGGCATGAGACGTTTTCTTATCAGAGATAGCCAAATGTCAAACCCAGAAGAAAAGCAACGTGAGCTATTAACGACCAGAGGCAGTTCCATGCAGCTGACAGAAGGGTGGTGGGGGCCTCACTCTCTTGAGTGAAAGACCTGGAAGGGAGGCACTTACCATGCCCCGGCGTGCTACAGGGAGAGGCAGCTGGGGGCAAGAACCTAGCACCTAGTGTCTCTCAGCACTGGTGAGAACCGGGGAGAGGGTGCCCCCGGCAGTGGGCGGGGTCTCCTTGCTGGAAGGTGACTATCCCGAGAACTGCCCAGAGGGCGACAGGATGGGGACAGACAGGATGGGGACAGGGGCAGGAGAGGGGCCGTGTCTTCTTTTGCCTGTTTCAGAAATGCCCAGTGCCCCCCTCCACCAAGTTCTCCTGGCCGCACCTGTAGATACTGCGTTTTCAGGGATCGGTAATCTTTGGGGATCAGACCTGAGGGGGAGGAAGACAAGACAGGTTTGTGAGCCAGCTGAGGTGTCCTAAAACGTATAAGCCCACCCGCCCGCCCCCCTGCCCGCCCTCCTCCCCAGGAGAAAACCCTAACCAGGAGGAAGGATTTCAGTAAGCGGTGTAAACCACCTCGCACCCTGCCGTTGGTTCTAAACTGACCCTGCACTTGAAGCTGGCTTACTGGGAGAGCCTGCTCCGGCGAGGCAAGGGGGCGCCCTGAAGCTCTGGACGCTGAGGTGCACTGAGCTGAGCGCTAACCCCAGCTGGGGATGGTGGGTGGGGATGGTGGGGATGGTGGGGATGGTGGGGATGGTGGGGATGGTGCACAAGCAGCAGGAGAGGGCGGGACTTCCTGCGTCTCTCCCTGGCTGTGGGCCAGATCTGCTGGGCACGTCCCACACTGCTGAGGAACAGGGAGGGGTCACCCGGCTCCAAGGCCAGTCTCGGATGCAGCCCCCCACTGAGGTAAGAAGAAATGGGCCTCCGACCACAACAGAGGGGACTTACAACACGCAGACCCCTGCCCTGGGCAGAGAGCACCCTCAAAGAACATTTCCCAGCCGGACGCCTTCAGCAGCAAGAACTGGCTGCCGTCACAGGCTGGGGAACAGGCTGGGGAACCCGGGCGTTTGGGAACGTGCATGGGCTGCCTGGCTGGCGCCTTTCCCGGGGGCCGCATCTCTCCCAGAAGCCGGTGGAAGGCAGCAGAGCAGCTGGGGTGAGGACAGAGGCGCGCCCCGCTCTGCACCTGTGCAGTCCCCAGGTGCGACAGCCCTTGTCCAGGGCTGGGGGCTGGACCTCGTCCTTGTTCGGGCGAGGGCGCTAACTGACCCTGCGGCCTGCAGACGTTTTGCTCCAAACAGAAACGGCTTGAATCTCACAGAGGAGAGGACCCGCAACATCGTAGGGAAGCGTCCCGTCTGCCAGGATGTCCACTCCCCCTCCCCCCTGGCACAGTGTGGGCCTGGGACCCGGGGTGCCCGGGCTCACCATTCTCCGTGATGGACAGAAGGCACATGAGGCGAAGGCTCTCTATAGGTGACACCTACACAGGAAGAGAGAGCCAAGGAGAGTTCAAGTTTGCAGCACACGTCCTCCCCCTCCTTGCTGGGCGGGGGAGGGGGCTTGGCCCACTGGAAACACCAGACCCCGCGCCCCGGCCCACCTGCCGGTCGATGTGCTCTTCAATGAAGCTGGTGCTCTCGCGGACGCCGAAGCCCTCCAGCAGCGCTGTGGGTGGTCAGGGGACAGCCGTTGTCGGGAGCAGCGCAGCTGCCGCCATCTGTGCTATCGGGCGTCTCTCCCCCCAGCTCCTCCCCCATCCTGGGTCAAGGGCCCCCAGACTTCTAACAGGAACCGACACTCCGCACAGCCGGGTCAGCTGGAAGGAGCCAGAGAGCCTCTTCTCGGGGCGGGAGGGGGCGGGAGGGGGTGGAGCCGGGGGCGGAGTGAGCCCTGCCAGGACCAGCCAGCAGTCACCGTGCTCGGTCTTGATGAGCTCCTGGAAGTCCTGCTTGGTTTTCTTCTTCATGATGGATTCACAGGCCCCAATATCTGCAGAGGATGAAAAAACAGCTGAAGCGTTCCTGGCTCCAGAAGGATATTCCTTCATTGTCCAGAAGAGTCAAGACCTCAAGGCAGTATGCAGACACGGTTCTGGCTCTGGACCAGGAGAGCAGCGTCTGCCCGATGAAGAGGGGTCTGCCCCCTCCCCTCCCCCCTCCCGGCCCCTCCCAGCCGAAACCTACGCAGACTCAGCAGGCGGTGCTCCTGTTTCAGTCCCTTCAGCTCCTGGGACACGAAGTTCTTCATCTGCTTGATGTCCATGCCCCTCCGGCGCTGTGGGGAAGTCCCCCTAAGGTCACCTGTCCCCGCCCTCGGACAGGAGCACCCACTGCCTGCCCTGGGTTCCCACCGATGCAAGAGACGCGTCGGGACCCTGTGGCGGCGGTGTCAGAGGGGTGGCCGGGGGCCGCGGCCTCGGGGGGTGGGGGGTGCGTGCCGCCGGGGAACCTGAGCGGCGGGGGGGGGGGGGGGCGGGGCGCGGAGCCTCACGTCGTACTGGGCCTGCAGGTTTCGGGCCTTCTGGCTCAGGAAGCCGAAGACGTTGGAGAAGTGCTCGTTGCGGATCTCGCTGAACACCTGGGAGGGGGGCAGGGCAGCCAGAGCTCAGCGGAGGGAACCGCGCCTTGTTCCCTCCTGCCTCGGTGACAGAGGGACAGGGTGACAGAGGGACAGAGCGACAGCACAGGCAGCGTGCTGGGGTGGGGGTCTAGCAACAGAGAGGGGAGAGCTGAGCTAGCAGCGGACACTCGGCGTCAGACCTGCTACGGGCCATGGGTACGCTCTTAGCCGATGGGGACCCTCTGTCCTGCAGACTCGGCCTCCCCCGCAGGGCGGTGCCCTCGGCCACGCGGGAGCAGAGCCCCCGGGGGACCCACCGCAAGCACCCACGCCCGCACCTTGTCCTCAGCGTTGAGCAGCACCTTCAGGCTCTTGTCAGAGGACGTGATTTCGGGGCCGAAGTCGACACTCCCTTGCATCGGAGAGCAGAGGGGACAGCCGTGAGGTTCTGCGAGGAGGCCCCCTTCTCCCCTCCCCAGAACTGCTGCCACAGGGCCTCCGGGCGGTCTGCAGCCAGCAGCGCGCCCCACGCAGGCGGGCCCAGGAGCCGAGGCCCCACGTACCACACTTGATGCGGAAGGTGTCGTCCACCAGCCCCTCGTACACCACCTGGGAGCAGAGCGCCGTCACGAAGTCCACGTCTGAAACCGAGACCCCTGACCGTGAGGGTATCCCCGGCACCGCCTGCCACCCGGTTTGCTCAGCGTCGGCTCGAGAGCCGTTCCCAGGCCGGAGCGCCCCGGTTGCTGGGCAATGCTGTACTCAGAGCCAGGGCCCGTCCGAGCCACCACCACGCGGCCCGCACCGCGACGGCCTCCAGGCCCGGGGACACGGGCGAGCTGAGCGTCGCTCACCTCTGTCCAGGAGGAAGATGTGCCCGATTTCTGGCCTGCGGCCCTTGGTCTCACCATCCTCCTCCTCTTCCAGTTTCCTCCACAGTTCGTATGACATCTGCCAGGGATCGAGTCATGCTTGCATCCCCCCAAATTTTAAATGTTGTTTTAATTCAACATTTTTACTTTGAGACGTTTATAGATTCACATGCAGTTGGGAGAAACACGAGACATTCTGAACCTGCGGCCCCGGGTCCTCCCGCCTCCCCAGACGTACAGAAGAAGCCAACGCCTTCCCGTGGGCTACTTCTGGACCCCAAGAGGGGAGCGGAGTTTTAAAAGGGCTTTATTTATTTCTCTTTAAAGACAGGGTAAGGGAAGGAGAAAGAGAGGGAGCGAAACATCGACGTGCGAGAGAGATATCAATCAGGTGCCTCTGGCTCACACTCCAGCGAGGGCCCGGGCCCGCAGCCCAGGCATGTGCCCTGGCCGGGAATCAAACTGGCGACCCTTTGCTCTGTGGGGTGACGTCCAACTAAGTTAGCCATGCAGGTAAGGGCGGGGGCTAGCCGTCAGCAACATGACCTGTTCTGGCCCCATTTGTTCCAACCCCCTCTCTCCCCGCCCACCCCCCTCCCCAAGACACGGAGGCCAGGGGCCCTGGCTCAGGGCTTCCTGTCAGCCGCCCCGGTTCTGCGCTGAGGACCAGCTCCTCAGCAACAGAAGCACAGGGAAGAACAGGCCTCCTGCCACAGATGCCCCGGAGGACCTGCGGTGGGGCGGACCGGGACGTGGGGCCCTGCCGGCGCTCACCTTGGCGCACCTCCCGATGCCGTAGCAGTTGGGGAAGGGGCCGTAGAGAGTGCTGAGAAGGTGCAAGGCCTGCGCCACCGTGTTGATCCAGCGCTGGTCTCCTTCCTGCAGGGACCACAGAGGCCACAGACGTGGGGGCCAACCCGACAGACCCACTTGGGAAGTGCGGGCCCTGGGGCCCTGGGGCCAGAGGCAGGTTGTGGGACTTCGCTCTGTCCCCAAAGGAAGTCCCATGCCCGCTAATCAGTGGCATTCAATGTCCCAGTCACTGTCACACAACAAACTGTGGGGTCGGTGAAGGTACATCAATGTTGCCAGCCCACTGGACCCTGCTTGTCCCCACCATGGACGACGCCCAGACCCAAGGCCCACCCCCCCGCCACGTACCAGGAAGTAGTCCCTGAAGAACTCGGGCAGCTCCATGCTCAGCAGATCCACGTCGAGAGGCAGCAGAGAGAAGGCCCATTCGTCACAGCTCACGTCTGTGGGCACAGGGCGCCTTAGCCTCCCGGCTGGAGGCACGGGCTCCGCGCACACAGGCATGCGCACCGGCCAGCACGCGAAGGCACCGAGTGCACGCACACGCCCGGGCTGCACCCAGTGAGCGCGGCTGCTCCGGGTTGAGTAAGCCGCAGCTTGAGCCCCGAAGGCGCCCGGAGTCCGGTAACCATAGAGACACGCGCATGACAGCCTGTGATATGATGCGACCAGGCACCTGTTTTCCTTAGGGTCCCCACCAGAAACACCAAGGAAACAGGCGGTCACAGTGTGACAGGCACTGACGGAAAGGCGCCCACGGGCAGGCACTAACTAGGCTGGGCACCGGGGACGCAGTGGGAGAGAAGGGACCTGTCCCCCCATCTCCTGGGCAGATTCTCCATCTAGTGGGGACGTGCACCAGACAGACGGAACTACCGCTGGGCCCCGGAGAACAGCCACCCTGCGCACCAGCCTTGTAGGGTCTAAGCTCAAGCGGGGGTGCAGCAAAGAACCCTCCGGAATAAGATCGGGGTTGGGAAAAGCGTAAGGTAGGGACCATTCCAGCCACTGCAGGACGTGCTGCAGGGAGGGCCATGGCCAGGTCGGAACACGCAAGGGAGGGTGGGCACAGCTGCTCCCGGGGGAGTCTGGGAGGGAAGGCCAGAGCAGCGGGTAACTTCCAAGGACAAGCCTGCGCGTCCCCTCCCAGCATCCCAGCATCCCAGCATCCCCGCCCCTCCATCCTCAGACGTGCCCCTCCTGCTGGGCCAACCTCCTGCTGGGCCAACCGGATGCCCCAGGAGCAGGAGGGGATGGGGAAGGGCCGCTGTTCCTTCTCCCGCTCTCCTCTCACCTCCGAAGATCCCCTCCTCCTCCAGCACCATCTCGCAGGCGTAGAACTGCAGGAGGAAAGGAGGCCGATGAGCAAACACCGCCCCTGCCCTTGCCGTCCTCCGCGGTCCCCAGTGAGGGCAGCAGCGGCTGAAGCCCGCAGGGGGACCCAGCCGCTCCGGTCGAGAAACCACTGGAACCACGGGCCTCGCACCGCGTTCCCCCGTCACCCGTTTCGTGCGTGTATCGAGTCAGCTGATCTTCGTCTCCCCCAGAGTCAGAAAGGCTCTGCGGAGGAGAAGGCGCTCCAGCTGCCGGGGCAGGGTGGTCCTGCAGGCGGGGAGGAGGAGGGCGGGACAGCTACAGACCGAGGGCAGCGGGGGTAAGAGCAGTGGCGTGGAGAGAGGGCGCTCTGGTTGGGACATGTCCGTGGGACCCCTGGAGGCACCGAGGGGTCTGGAGACACAGTCTCGGGTGTCGGCGGCACACACGCTGCGTTTAAGGTGGGTGGCCTGTCCAGGAACAGAGAACTCTCGGGGAGAAGAGAGCCCAGGCCGGGCCGAGGGAACACCGGAGCCGGTGGCGAGGAGCTCTGAGGTAGGGAAGCAGAACACTGCTGTGTGCTATTTTCCCGTCGCAAAGAAGAGCCCTCTTCGCCCCTCACAGGCTCGAGTCAGCGTGACTGACACCCACAGGCCGCTGCAACGCTAAGGGGCGGGATTCCCCAGCCCAGCTCGAAAACCCCCATTCATTGACAAAGGGAGCCTCAGGGGGATACGGAGACCCCTCCTCCCCAGAGCTGCCCGGGGAGAGCTCTCCCTGCGATAAGGGAACTCGGTCACGGAACCTGATTCCTTGCGCAGTGTCAGATGGGAAAACTCGTACAAACGGCAGGTTTGTTTTTCTGTGTGATACAGCGGTTTGTATTCAAAACGGTACCGCCTTATTCTCACCATTGTTTACACAAATCTGCCCTTGGGAAAGTTTAATGAGAAAAAAAAAGGTTGGTAAGATGCCCAAAACTAGAAATGACTGCCCCGGCTCCTTTGGTGACATTCCGGAGTAACCTGTAATCGCGACCGATTATCTAGTTCGGGGCGTCTTGCCCCGGTGGAAGCCACACTCGGCGGATGTCTACCCCTGAACAGGCCCAGGGCGGTGGGAAAGCGCGGCAGCCTCCGACCCATGCTCAAAGCAAGACCGCGGCTCTTTCCTCTTAGTCCTTTCGCACGAGGAAGAAGCAGTAGACACCTCCGACTCCACTCGGTTTCTTAACAGACACTGAAAGTCGTCGCATTTACATTAAAAGATGTAAGTACCGTCGTCAACCCCATTTTACAGATGAGAAAACTGAGGCACAGAGCAGTCACCCAAGGACCACACTTCAGCTTCGGAACCCTTGGGCTTCTATCGCGTCAGAAGAAATCCCTGTCCCTTCAGCTGCGACTGCTACCTGCTCCAACTGCTGCCCACACTACGCGGCGCAGCCTTCCAGGCTGACCCCCGGCAGGGGGCTCACCTGCACGCCACTCCTCCCGATAGTGAGCGGGGCTGCGCACGCCCCTCTGACGCACCTCGCTGATGAGGGGCAGAGGGATGGAGACGCGGAGCCACTAGGACAGATCACGAGCACTGCCCTCACGGAGGGAAAGGTGGCAGGGACCCAGCCCGGCTCTGCCGCCTCACTGTGCGGCCGTGGGCGTCAGCCCACACAAGCTGGGGTGCAGTCACACGGTCTCTGCGGCGCCTGCCCCGTGCGAGGAAAGGCCGAGCCCGGGGAGGCCACGGCTCAGCGTACTTCTCACGGAGGGCTGCAGCGGGAAAGCCACTGAAAAGCCCCAGTGTCGCAGGCTGCACCTGCGCGGGAGTCCGTGCCGGCTCTGGGGGGGTCAGTCTTCTCCTGTGGCTTGTGTGGGGTCCCCAGTCCATATTTGGGGCGGTCTGGTGACAGGCCCTCTGCTTATCAGTCAGGTCTACGTTAATAATAAGACAGTGACGGGTGCTTGCTCAATCCCTATAACTTGCTTTGGGGGAGATGGAGCTTTGCCCCCTGTCCCTTCCTGGTCCTGAATCCCGTCCTCCCTCAGCCCCTCCCACCAGGATCCACTCACCTTCTGAGGGCTGAAGATCACTTTGTATTTTCGGGTCCGGCCGGCCAGCTTGTCAGCATTGACGAGACCTGTGAACAGGGCGCGTAAGGAGGAAAGCCGAGGGCGGTGCGTCAGAGGAGCCAGGAGGCAGCCCCGCCCCACCCCACCCGGCCCCACCCGCGGGGGGCCGCTACTCACTGGCGATGTAGCGCACGTTCTTGATGCGGGGTCGGACCAGGAAGCACAGTCTAGGGGAGGGAGGGACGACGCTCAGGGAGGAAGAGCCGTGAGGTGGGAGGTGGCACCCACTGAACCTGACACGACGCCACCTCTTTCCCCGGCTGCTCCTCTCGGCAGGCCCACAGGTCTCAGTCTCACCACGGCTGGGCCACTTGCGGCGGCAGGGACATTCTGCTCGGTGGCGGGGGGGGGGGGGGGACGGGGGGGGGGTGGGACACAGTATCTGGCCCTACAGGGCACCCAGGAGTTCCTGTTCTCAGATGACTGAACCGTATCGCAAACCTCCCGCGGCCAGATCTCAGCCAGGGACAAGCGTGCAGGGACAAGCGTGCAGGGACGGCCTCCGGCTGGGGGCCAAGCTGGGCCCCCGGGGCACTCACTGCTCACTGGAGCTCAGGGCCGGCCTGTTCTCCACCTTGTACAGCTTGTCCACTTCGTGTTGCTGCGGAGAGAACCCAGCAAGGCACGGGATGTGGGGCGCCTGGAAACCCACAGCCTGATGCAAACACGGGGGACTGGCCTCCCATTTACTCCGACTCCAGAAATCCAACCGTCTCCCTGACAACCATGCACTGAACCTTCCTCAAAAACCAAAAATAAAAACACCTCAAACACAATGTGGACAACAGCAGCGACCCCCCCTTGGGGCACCCCATCCTGCTCCCCTCTGTGTACCCTGTGAGGGTGGTCCCTCCTCAGTAATCTGTGTTGTGCGTCAAAAGAAAACTGCTTAAGGACGAAGGCGTGGCCTGAGCCCGCCTGGAAGGAAGGGCGGTACCTTCAGGATGGAGACGTTGGCGATTCGATCCAAAGGGCTCATGAGGTCCGCCTCGATGAACAGGTCCTTTCTCCCTGGAAGCTGAAGGAGACACAGCATCCTGGGCCCACTCCGGGGTCACACCAGCGCCCGCGGTGACAGCCCGCACGGCCACGCGGTGAGCGGAAGCACAGTCTCTGGGCCGGAAGACCAGAGACACCATCTACCCCAGCGCCTTATTTGCTGCTGATGTCATGTCCACAGAGGACATCTGTACGGTCACCTGTTCTGTCTCCTCGTTTTCTGTGTCAGCAGGAGAGTATCTTCCCTTCTTTCTGAGGTGCACCCCTTGTCACTCAGCCCTCCAACCTAGCCTGGGACCTTGTCCTCGTCACCGCCCCCTTCACCACTGTGCCTCCCAAGAGTCCTGGTCCTGCTGTGCAAAGGCGAACAAAACCGAACCCCACCTGGCATTCTGCACCTCCCTGAACTACCAAATCTCTTTCTAAGGAGCTTTTTTCTTCCAAGTACAAAACCACTTCCCCACCCCAGGTCCCTGTCGCCTGACTCTGGCATCACCACTCCTAGCGTGGCTCCCGCCTGGCTGGGGGAAGGAGAGGGCACACTGAGAGGCAGGGGGCGAGGGACTCATTGTGAGCGTCCCCTCAGCGAGGCCTGGGCAAGCGGGGCGCGTGCTGGCAGTGACACAGCAAGAGGTCAGCCCAGCAGAGGCCGGGGAAAGGGCAGGCGGAAGGGTGAGAGCAAAGCAAGCAATTCGGAGTGGCCGGTGCACAGGCACGTACGGGGCAGCGGTTCGCAGCCCCGAAGAGAGGGGGTCTCGAAAACAGCTGTCTAGAATCGGGCCGGAAGGGCCGGCCCCAAATGCCAGGTGAGAGTTTGCAGGTGACCCTCCAGGGAACAGGGAAAACAGGAAGCTCTTGTGCCCCGAAGCCTCCTTTTCCGTGAGCTGGGTCTGGGAACTGCGGGTGAGACGGGCTGGAGACGGGGACATTGGAGGCAGGCGGCCCAGTTATGGGGTTCATGCGACAGTCCAGGCAGCTCAGGCGTGTGGCGGTGAGTGAGACCCTGAGTCAGGCTGGCTGGCAGTGTGAACACAATAGGCTACTTAAGAAACACTTGGACCGTGTAACGGAATTTTTAAAAAATATATTTTATTGATTATGCTATTACAGTTGTCCCATTACCCCCCTTCACTCCCCTCCACCCTGCACACCCTCTCCCACCCACATTCCCCCCTTTAGTTCATGCCCATGTGTCATAGGTTCTTTAGCTTCTACATTTCCTATACTGTTCTTGCCCTCCTCCTGTCTATTTTCTCCCTACTGTCTATGCTACTTATTCTCTGTACCTTTTCCCCCCTCTCCTCCTCCCACTCCCCTGTTGCTAACCCTCCATGTGATCTCCATTTCTGTGGTTCTGTTCCCTGTTCCAGTTGCTTTGCTTAGTTTGTTTTTGTTTTTTGTTTTAGGTGTGGTTGTTAATAATTGTGAGTTTGCTGTCATTTTACTGTACATGTTTTTTTAACTTCTTTTTCTTAGATAAGTCCCTTTAACATTTCATAAAATAAGGGCTTGGTGATGATGAACTCCTTGAACTTGACCTTATCTGAGAAACACTTTATCTGCCCTTCCATTCTAAATGAAAGCTTTGCTGGATAGAGCAATCTGGGATGTAGGTCCTTGCCTTTCATGACTTGGAATACTTCTTTCCAGCCCCTTCTTGCCTGCAAGGTCTCTATTGAGAAATCGGCTGACAGTCTGATGGGAACTCCTTTGTAGGTTACTGTCTCCTCATCTGTCGCTGCTTCTAGGAGTCTTTCCTTCATTGTAGTCTCTTGACTAATGTAATTATGATGTGCCTTGGTGTGTTCCTCCTCGGGTCCAACTTCTTTGGGATTCTCTGAACTTCCTGGACCTCCTGGAAGTCTATTTCCTTTGCCAGATTGGGGAAGTTCTCCTTCATTATTTGTTCAAATAACTTTTCCACTTGTTGCTCTTTCTCTTCTCCTTCTGGTACCCCTATAATTCGGATGTTGGAACGTTTAAAGATGTCCTGGAGGTTCCTAAGTTTCTCCTCATTTTTTTGAATTCTTGTTGCTTCAATCTTCTGTTTGGTTGTTTCTTTCTTCCTTCTGGTCCACTCTATTGTTTTGAGTCCCAGTTTCCTTCCCATCACTATTGGTTCCCTGTGCATTTTTCCTTCATTTCTCTTATCGTAGCCTGCATTTATTCATCTAATTTGCAACCAAAATCAACCAATTCTGTGAGCATCCTGATCACCAGTGCTTTGAACTGTGCATCTGATAGGTTGGCTATCTCTCGGTCACTTAAAAGTATTGGTTCTGGGGCTTTCATTTCTGTTTGAGCCATCCCACCCCCAACCCCACCCCCCATTTGGTCTGGTCGTGCCTGTTACATTGAGGGGCAGAGTCTTAGGTTCTTCAGGGTGGGGCACCCCAGTCACTGGGTTGTGACGTTGTATGTGGGGGCGGGGTCTGAGAGGGAACAATGGCGCCCGCTCTGCTCTCGGACAGATCCCAGTCCCCTCCGCCGCCTCCCCTGAGCAAACCGAGTCCCTCTGGTGCCAACTCCCATGTGGGTGGGCTTGCACACCCTGCGGGACCTTCCAAGGACCTCTCCTGTGAGGCTGGGAGTCTCTCCCTGCGCCTCAACCCCCACAGGTGTTTTCAATCAGTGCCCCAAGGCTCCATTTCCCAGCGCTGGGATCCTGGGTTGCGTGCAGTGCCGTGCTTCACAACTGCCGCCTTGCTGGGTCTACCGGTTGCCACCCCTCAGCTGGGGTCTGCCAGCTGCTGCTTGCGCACTCAGGGTCTGCCCGCTGCGGTCTTGTGTGCCCCGGATGCCCCATGCACCCAGTCCCAACACTCTCTGCTCTGCTCACCGCGACCTGCGAACGGCTGCCCGACTCCACCCCTCCTACCGGTCTGGATGAACTGGTCTATTTTCACTTCTTGGCTGTCTGACTTCCATACAGTTCACTTTTCTGTCAGTTCTGGTTGTTATTCTGTTTCTAAGTTGTTGTTGTCCCTATCTTGGTTGTGCCAGGAGGCACAGTGTGTCTACCTACGCCTCCATCTTGGCCGGAAGTTGTAACAGAATTTTTTAAGTGGCTGAAAGAAATGAACTGTGTTAACAGAGCTTGCATCTAGATGATTGTCTTCTTTGTACTTCCCTTTATCTTGCACATTTCCCATACTGTGTGAACATTACTTTGTAACCACTATTTTAAAAAGTCGGGTGGAAGGAAATACCCACAGGACTCAGTACCTGGCTCAGTCAATAGGAGGGGGGAAGGAGAGTCAAAGCCGACTGTGAGGGTTCGAGGCTGAACAGCAATGCCCACTGACAAGAAGTGAGTGTGAAGAGGATGTCACAGCACAGGGACCCACTTGGCCACACTGAGTGCCCTTGTGGCCCCTCGTCCCCACCTATGCTGCATTGACAAGTTCCTCTCCTTGGTCCCATTTACTCTCTTCCCTGTGGCTCTTGCCTGGGCCAGTGGCTTTAACTAGCACCTCTTCAATTCCTTCCATTTGTTGAGTGAATTTCCTGTGCAAATCGGGGCACAGAAAAGTGAAATAAAATGTGGCCCTACATTCCCTGAGGTTCTCCCACGTCCCCATCTCCATCCCGGCGGCGGCTCTCCAGCTCCATCTGCTGGACAGCACAAGCAGTAGTTCCTACCAGCTCTGAACTTCATCCTACTCAAACCCAAACTAAGGAAGGGTCCCCACCGAACCTGTTCCTCTTTCTAATTCTTTTGTTCACTTCCATTCAGTGTCCATGCAACAAATATTTACTAAGTACATGCTATGTGCCTGACTCTCACAAGATATACAGTGTTAAACAAAACAGACAAGTTCCATCCTCAGAGATCTTTCAAGCTAATGTCCGGAGACATGGACATTAAACAAACTATGTATGTAACAATTATATTTGCAATTATATTGGCATCATTACTTTCCTATTAACTCGAGTTTAAAATCCCAAAGTCAGCTTTGCTTCTCCCTCAACCTTTACAACCAGTCAACAAGTCTTTGAATCTTCTTTCACGGTGACTTAAAAGCCCATTATTGCCCTCCATTCCCAGGGTCACTAAGTTTGGATGGGCCTTTAGTACCTCTGTCTGGTCTATGGTCTCCAAATTGCCCTTCTGCCTGTCCATTTACCCGCCTGTACTCGCGGCTATGAGAACCACCTTCAAGCACAGCTTCATGCCACAAACTGGGGGGCGGGGTTGGGGGGGGAATCCTTCAGTGGCTGCCTACTGTGTAACATGTGGTAACGTGTGGTCATGATCTTCCCTATAAAAGCCTCGTCCTTCTCCGGTTCCTTGACTTTGCTCCTCCCAATCCATTTCCCCGGAACATGGTCCCCTAATCTCCAAGAAAAATATGCTTATTCTTCACATTCTGGCTCGTTGAAACTCCCAGATCACTCCAGTTACAAATGACTGCGTATTCTGAACGCTTCAGGCACCGTACCTATCACTCACTCACCACACGATGCGCTAGGTGTGGCCATTCGTGTGTCCTGCGGCTCCTCCTGGAGTGTGGGCTCCCCAAGAGCAGAGGTGTCTTAACCAGCTTTCCCTCCCAGTGACGCCTGGCACCAGTGCTGTGTCCCTGGCCTCTATGGGGGAAAGGTGGTTTCCATGAACTCCCTGGCCAGGTCCCAGGTTTTCCTCCCTGGGTGCTTCCTTTCGGGCCTGCCCCAGAAGCTCCAAGGACAACACCAAAGGCCAAGAACAAGCTCAAGGGGACACAGCAAGGAAGAACCACGCGTCCAGTGCGTGCAGCAAAGGCCCCCGGCGCGGCGGGCACTGACCTGCTCCAGCAGGTAGATGAGCTGGTCTCGGGCTAGCCTCTTGAGCATGGAGAAGTCAGGCAGCTCCGGGGCGTCCGGCCGATGTGGGAAAGACATGGCCGCGGGGTGTGAGAAGGAGGTCGCCCTCCGCTCTCACAGGGCCGGCAGCAGCCCAGGGTAAGCGCAGGGCGGCTCTCCTTCAGGCCTGGGCACCACGGACGTCCAAAGAGCCCCCGAAGGGGCTCTCACTCTTCAGCTGCGCTCGAGGAAAGAATGGCCACCTCCCGGCCAGACAGCGGCCGCCTCAGTCACCCACGTCTCAGGCCTGCAGCCACGGTGCCCCGACCCGGCCCTAACAGCTCCCCACCGTAGGTCAGCGGGATTCCGGTCTTGCTGCTGCAGGGAGAACCCCGCCTCCCGACTGACAGGAGAGGCTTCCGGTGCTTCCGGAAGTCCTCCTTCCTCCCCCCCCCCACCGGAGGTTGGCGGATCAGAAATGGACGGTGCCTTGGAAGGGACATTTCAAAACGGGAGCCAACGCCTCAAAGGGCAAGTCTCATTTCTGGCCAGAGGGGTGTGCTCTATGATAAAACTAGTGCTTAAGGGCACACTCGATTCTCCTAGCTTGTTCAAGCGAGGGTTGGGCACTTGCTTGATTTTTAGAAATTCATATAATGGGTGAAACCCATCGGAGACTGAAGAGCGCTGATCTTGGGGATCTTGACTGTCAATCAAACCTACTCTTAGAGGCGCGGTAGCTAGCAGGTCTCTAGCTTCCGAGCTGCAGGAGAGACTCAGAGAGTTGGGGAGTGGGGGCGGGGGGGGGGCGGAGACCGCGATGGGATCCAGTGGGAGCTAAAAGTCCCCGCCAGCTGTGGCCTTTGGATGCCAGGGTTTTGACTCATTAACGTCCCTCATGGGAAAATGGATTGATAAACTATGGCGTATTCATAAAATCAAATGCATAAATCAGAGAAGCCAGAACGATAGTGGCATTTGTGTGATGCCACTTACACAAGGTTCTAGAACAGGACAAACTAATCTGTGTTGAAAAATATTCAAAAATGTGCTTGACTTTGGGATGATAACTGGAGAGAAAAATTAGGTAATTTTCAGGGATGATGGTAATTATATCTACCTATTTGGGCGGGGGGGGGGGGACTTATAGAGTCATAAGGAATAGATCCTGCTGACAATAACCTGAACTCAGTAATCAATCATAACATCACATCCTCATCTTCTGCATAGGTGAAGAGGAAGCACAGAGCATCACCGATTGCCACAGCTCTGACCTCATCAAGCCTCAAAACTAGCTATCAGTTCATAGGGAAGGTAGAGAACGTGTCAGAAGACATCACAAGAATGAAATCTAAATGCAGGAAGTTATATGGAATAAATAACCTGTCCAGCGGTGAGGGGAATAAAGTGGAAGGGGAAACCGCTTCAGAATAAGAGACTTCTGGAACACATCAACACAATGCACTGTTGCATGGATCCTGTTCCAAAGAACTAAATCATAAAAGCCATTTGTGAAAGAGTACTACCATGATTTTAGCTGAAATTAAGGAATTACTAAAACTGAAGTTACAGTGATGGCGCATGTATCTATGTTAAATAGGAGTCCTTAGCTCTTTGAGATGTAGACTGAAGTACATACAGGCAAAACATGTCTGGAATTTATTTTAAGCCAGGGGTAAATGTGCGGCAAGTGCAGCAGGATTTTCTGCTGCATTTTCTCCAATAATGGAGACTGGCCACTTGTTCAATGTTAAAGCTGGGTGATGGGTACACAGGGGATCATTCCGTTACAGTCTCCCAACTTTTGTGTATTTGAAAAATTCTTTTAAGATCAAGCAAAAAACTACTTTTGTGCTCACACTGGGCTTCAAGAGATCATCTAGCATTCAATACTGAGCTTTCCTTCCCCACACTCTCTTCGTCTGATTGAACCTCAGCTGCAGAAAGGCTGGGGCTGCCCAGGACAGACGAGACAGTCACTTGAGCATGGGGACTTAAATCCCTTCTGTTGGCGTTCACCAGCCTCCTGAGCTTGGTCCCCGGGTTTCTCTGAGATGTCCATTCTCCTCACAGCTGCTTTTTCTCCAGGTCCACCAGAACCTTGCCATCTGTTGCTCCCTCCAACAGATACCGCACCTGTGCCCCTGTGGGTTAGAATCCACAGCACAGGAGGGACAGGAGGGAGCTCAGGACTTGCTGACTGCTACCTGCTCGAGGAGGTGGCCAAGGGTGAAAGGCGGGGCTTTCTGCCACTGTGGGCTGGCTGTTTGGTATCAGGTCCCACCCATTTCCTCACCCCTATTAAAATCTATGCTGGGCACTGGGACTGCAGCGACACAGACACGTCTCCTGCCCTCGTGGGGTCTACATTCTATTGAATGGGTAATCACAAATACAGTGGTAATGTTTTTCAAATATTGGGAAAAATTAAACAGGGTGTCGTGTGTGTGAGAACACGGAGATGCTTTAGATCCCGGTCATTAGGGAAAACCTACGAAAGCGACATTTGACCTGAGTCCTAAATGACAAGGAGCCAGCCAAGCGAATACCTGGGGGCAAAGAACCAGGGAGTACAAAAGCCTCAGACGGACACGTTCAAGAATGGGAAGACTGAAGCTGAGTGAACTGTAGCCGAGGATGAGGTAAATGGAGTACCTACCCCGGTCTGGAACAACAGCTAAAACTCCCCGCGGGCCCCTGGGGAACGGGCACGGACATGATCTGCAGGAGCTGGAACCGCTAATTTAAAGTCACACAGCACCTCGCACCTCTCAAACGCCTGAAAGGTTCTAATGGAAAAGGACCACATTCCTTTAAAATCGTCACACTGATCCGCTTTGACTAGAAACTACAAGACCAGTGAGAGAACAAGGGCTTTGTCTGCCCAATGTGGCATTCCCAACATCTGGGTTTCCTGTGACTGGCAGGAGACAAGGCCGTTTAAACCGAACAAATGCTCCAGTTAGGAGTGAGCAGGGACAGAATAGCTGTTGATGGCATTGGAAACAGGAAGGTTTCACAGACAGACCATCAGTAACAGGTTTGGAATATCAGTGTTTTCGGCATACATGTAAGCTCCAAATAACCGATTTTTGCTGTGAATTGTTAAAACGAGACATGGTTGAAAACTGTCACTGGGTTTCTGCTGCTCCCACGACTCATTCCCTCTCTACAACAATCACTTTGTTGTAACAAAGTGTCTCCAATTTTAAAGGCCTTGAATTAAGGATCAGACCTGGGTTCAATACCAGGTTTGCTACTTAGGAGCAGCCACGTGGCCTCAGGCAAATCCACATTCCTTTGCGATGGTGTCATTTGCTAAAAGGGGCCCGTTATCTGTTCTTGCCTCCAGCATAACACTGCTGCCAAGATGTGAGAAACTGAAGAGATACTTTTAAGTTTTTGAAAGGGACTGGGGCTGATGAGGGCCCCAAAGCCTTTGCCTACTTGCATTTTAAAAAATCAAACCCCACACACATCTCGATCTTTTACAACCTTAGTAACTGAAAAAAAATTCATGTCCTTTTTACCTGTCAGATTCCAGCACTGAGCAGTGACCTACAGAGCTCTCTGCGGGCGATCCCCCGGCCCCATCTCCCTGCCAGTGTTCGCAGACAAGGGACCCTCCGCCCCTTCCTTCCCGCACCAGGTTTCACAGGTAAGCCCTCCCACCCACAGAACCAGCGATCACACCGCTACATTTCAGTTTATTTTGCACATAATGAAAACAACCAACTGACTAAGCAGCTTCAGAACTGTTAGTGTTCATTAATCGAGAAATAAATCAAGTCAGAAGGCCAACATTTCAATTCCTCCAAAACACATTTTGCAGGTACAATAGAAATTCCTAACACATGCAATATGGGCTGGTTTTGAAACACAGAGAGCCTAAGCAAGAAGGGTGAGCACTGAATGTCCGGACGGGTCAGACCGGGGGGGCCAAGCTCACGGAAGCTGGGCTGTACCCGGCCAGTCATCCATGCGCTTGCCCAGGTGGGTTTCACGCGGCACCTCCACAGGTCAGGCTCCAGCTCAGATTCTATACAGGAAGTTTCCGTTGTCGTCAAAGAACTCTCGCCCCTGCTGCACTACTCTGCTGCTGAAGTTCTCGCCACCCCGTTCTCCTGCCGCCAGCTCCTCCAGCTTGACCGCACTCGGCGATCCGGCACTGTCGGTCCCCCCGGTGCCCTCGCAGTCCGCGGTGGGACGCTTCTGCAGCTCTCCCCAATGACCTCCTGCTGCAGCCACGGGCGCCAAGCCCTCCTTCTCCAGGCTGCGGATCCCGCTGTTCCTTCTCTCCTGTCTGCTCGGTGGGTCTGTACTGTGAGTATTCGGTCCCACCACCTTCAGAGCTGTGCTGCGACCCTGGCCTTGGGATGAGGCTTCACCTCCTGACGCAGAGTGGCACGTGGGAAGCAGTTTCCAGGTTTCCCCAGAGCCCGGAAGCTGGCGGAGCGCATGGGCAAGCCCAGCTTTCTTAAGGACTTTCTGATCCTGCTTCAGTTTCTGCTCCAACGTGGGAACAAACTTGCTCCTTAAAACCCTTCTGATCACATCGGTGCTCACATCAAAGCCTTCCGCCAACCTGGGGACTGACCAGGACTCTGCAAATTCCTTATGTAAGTACCTACAGGAAAACAAAGCAGTTTTTCAAATTGTCAAGTCTTCTATCAGAATAGCTGACTGACAATATTAGTGGTAACTACACGGGAAGAGGAGCTGCAAACACAGGCTGTGCTCCATCCCGAGTGCCGACAGCAACACCCAGCCGCTGTTCGATCACTTTATTTCGCACCGACTGACCACCTCCCCCTACACAGCTTCCCCCGTGAACCCTGGCGACCGCGTGAAGACCGTCCTTCCCTTCAAAGAATGTACAATCCGGGGGTCAAGACGAATATGTTAACACAGAACAACACTGTGATGGGTCTCACAGCACAGGATGCTGTGAGAGCTCCCACGACGGAGACCCAAGAACAGGCTGTCACAACCCGGGCAGCGTGGCCCAGGAGCTGCTCCGGGAAGTCGATGTTAGAGCTGGTCTGAAAGGATGCAAAGGAGTTAGCGAGCCGGCGGTGGGGGGCCAAAAATACTGATGGCAGAGCGAGCATGTGAAATGCACGGAACACCATCTTCGTGGGGAATAACTCATCCGACAGTGAAGGCAGGAGCAGGATCACGCCGTGCTTAGTAATCTGGAGTTCATCCCAGAGCAACAGCAAACCAAGGAAAGCTTTTAAAGGGTGGAATGCCATGAGCAAACTTTCATTCTGAAGCCCAATCCAGTGGTGGTCCTTCAGCAGCAAGACTAGAGGCGGAAAGCTTGAGCGAGAGGCTGTCAGAATAATCCAGACGGGGTGGACTGAGGTGGTGGCAGTGAGAGGGGAGGAGGCAAGAGACCTGAGAAGTATTTTAGGAGGGCCACATGGGAGAACGTGGTAAGTGAGGAAGGAGGCTGAGACCAGGATTTTAGCTGGGCTGACTTGCAGGCTCATTCAGGGTTACAGCGAAATCAGGAGCGGGATTAAACTGTCCGGAACAGTGGTGAATTCTATCTTGTACACTCTGAGTTGGAGGAACCTGTGTGGCATCCAGACGGAGGCGTCCGGTGCACAGCTGGGGGTCAGGAGAAAAACACGGACTGAAGGTGATGGCTTTGGAAGTCATAAGCCGACAGCAAAGGTGGTTGAAGCTGTGTGGGTGGGTGGCTGCCGTTAGGCAGGGAAATATGCAGAGTGAGAGAAAATGACTGAGAACATAGCTCTAAAGAAAACAGGAACATTTAACCAACAGGAGGAAGCAGGGGTATTCAGGAAAGAAAGAGAAAAGCAGCTCTAGAAATAGAAGCAAGTGGTACCAGGGTGAAGGGAGAAAAGAATTTCAAAAATGGGCATAACCATGAAAGCCCCCAGCTCTGGTTCTTAGAGTAAGAACGTCCTGATTTACTATCTAACATTTAAATGTTGTGAGGTCTGCAGTTGACTACTTTAAAATTTCAGCAAAATGAACCGTGTCACAACATTAAAAATTTTTAAATCAAGATGATGGGTTTATGGCAGTTCATTCCATTACTTTGCCATAAGAAACCATAAATGAGCCCTGGCCCAGAGGTCAGCCAGCGAGAGCAGGCCCCAGACGCCAAGGCTGCGGTCTGGTCAGGGCACATGCCAGCGACCAGTGAATGCACAAAACGTGGGACAACAAACTGATGTTCCTTTTGTCCCTTCTTTTGCTCTAAAAACAAAAAACAAAACAAAACAAAACAAAACAAAACAAAAAAAAACAACAACAACAGGAGAAGCAGAAGGAATGAATAAGAAAAGAAATCTGAGCTCCACCCAGTGCGGCTCGGTGGGGCTCGGTGGATCGAGTGTCCACCCTGGAACTGAAAGATCGCAGTTCCGTTTCCAGTCGGGGCGCATTCCTGGGACGCCGGCCAGTAGGGGCCGTGCTAGAGGCAACGCAATGTTGTTATCTCCCCTACACCGATGTTTCTCCTTTCTCACTCCCTTCCCCCTTCTCTGAAATAAATGAAATCTTTAAGAAAAGGAAATCTGAAATGCTAATAAAAGAAAGTAGGAAAACCACATGATCTTGCGCAGTATCCCTCCCTCCCCAACACAGCAGATCCAGACAACGGGGGTCTTACCGGATCTGCTCCATGGCTTCCCTCGTCAGAGTCCTGGGTGGGGCACCTGGCGCCTCCATTTGCCTCCGAATTTTCTGGAACCGAATGGCCTTTTTCTGTCGTTTCAGGGCGCTGGAGAAGAGAACCAATGGCAGAAGCCATGGGTGGGAGCTAGCTGAGGGGCTGAAGAGTCTCGGGCTAAATCACGGAGTGCTGGGCCTCCTCCTTGTTCACCGCCCCAGAAACCTAACGCCTAGAACTTGGGCTAGCCGAGCTCCCTACACGGGTGATGAAACTCGTCACTGGTCAAGGGACCCGTGGTCCCGAAGGAGCTGAATACCTGCCCCTGCGTCTCTGATCAGAATAAGAAACATGGGCCGCTGCAGAGGCAACGGCTGGACGCCCGGCGCCAAGGAGACGCGGCCTGGATCGCCGGGGCCGGAGACCCTCCTTCAGGCTGAGGGCCCGGAAAGGAGCTGGTACCTCTCCACCTCCTGCAGCTCCCGCTCCTCCGGCTCCCAGTAGGTATCGTGATCCGGCTCGCGGCCCATAGAGCCTGAGCCTGCCACCCCTCGGGTCGCGAGACCACAGCGAGCGACGACAGCGCGGGCACGCCCGGCGAGCGAGAGACCCAGACCACCCGCCATGTCGACAGAACCGCCTGCAGGCCAAAATGCGGACCAGCGAAGCCAGACGGCGGAACCGGAAGTGGAGGGGCTGGAAGGAAGCAGGGGGGCCTGGGGGGAGGACAGGGGGCGGGGCACATCCTTCCAGCTTCCGGCGGAAGGGGGACCCTGGGCTTAGCGAGTTTTTCAGCCCACCCGTCCCTGCTGCAACTACAGGTAGAGCTTTGCTGGTAGGCGAGAGTCTGAATGAGGTGGAGGACGATCCTGCAAAACGGCATAAACTTTAATAAAAAGACGGGTTCAACTGCCGAGAGCCAACCCTTCCCCACAACGGCGGCCCAGGCCGGCCAGTCTCCCCAACGGCGGGAGGGCGTCCCCAAGGGGTCTTCTGACGGCGACAGCCCCGTGCCTGGGCACTCGGCTCCTCTGGGGAAACGAACTCCTTGTCTCCCGAATCAACTCCAGCCCCGGGCCGCACCAGGGTCCAGACCCATCAGCTAGCGATAAATCCAGGCCCAGGTTTGAAGGGCGGAGGTGAGTGCAAGGCCCGCCCTGGCGCCTGTCTTCGTTGTTTGGTCTTCCCTGGTCCGGAAATACTCTTGCGGTATCGAGGAATTCTTGGTGTCTTTGTGTTTGTGCCTTATGCAAACCGAGTTCCTGGCCAGGGCTTTTCAGACTCAAGCTTGGTGGCAGTCTCTTCACTGGGCAGCGCTCGAAGGCCCTTTGCCCCTTAGGAAAGCTGAAGGGTTCTCCAGCAGAGCTTGAGTGCTGGGCTTCCTTCCTGCATTTACCTGTGGTGGCTGATGTCCAGGGCCGCAGTGGCACTCTGCATCAGGGGTGCAGAGGCACGGCAGAGGGGGAGGTCCTGGGCCTTGGCTGCTTGTTGTCCACAGTGGACGATGGAGGGCAAGGTGCATTCAGTCCACGGGCTACTTACCACTCTTTCCCGTTGCAGAAAGTAGCCCTGCCTTGGGGTTAAACAGGATGGCACTGATCCTGCCATGGCTCTTTATGGCTTCTAGCCTCCTGCTGGCTTGGCCTTCTGCAGTGGAAACATGGGGCCCCCTGAGTTGCTTGCTACTTACGACTCTTTCCCAACTGTCTCTCAGTGACCAACACAGAGGAATGGCACCCTGTGCTTCCCTCCAGCATCTTTCCCACACTGTATTGTCATCGGTGCGTTTGCTTGTCCATTTCCCTGTTGTGTTAGTGGAGTGCTGGGACTGTGTTTCTGCCATTTCCACCACCAGGCTCCAGCACAGAGGAGGCGGCAGATGGCTCCACTGCCTCCCACGTTCCCGCGCTGCTGGAGATGCCGCATTATATTTGGGAGCATCCCAGCTGGAACACCTGCTGGTGGGAACTCAGTGACCAAAGCTAGTTTTGCATACTTACGGCTATCGGGCCTGACTCTGGGAATGGGAAAACAGCGCTCGTCAGATTTCTTCGTTGACAATGAACAGGGGCCAAAGGCGGCTGGATCTCTTATCCAGTTGATGTTCTGGCTTCGCCCTGCACCGCCCTGGCTCCGGCCGGCCTTCCCTCCCTCCCTCTTTCCTTCTGTCCTTTCTCCTTTTGGATGAAAGCGGGATCACACAGCATTTCTAAACGGCTGCCTAGTATTCTCATGTATGAGTGTGTTTATGACGTTCAGTAGTTTTCAACCTCTTATCCCCATTGAAAGATGGGGTTCAGCAAGTCACATGCACAGTGGGCACCCGGCGCCCAGTGGTGGTGGTGTCCTTGGCACATCAGAACAGCCCCCCACTCCCTCGGTCGCTGCAGCAGGCCTGGGGCACAGGATGGGCAGGCAGCCCCTGAGACCCGCTGCTTTCCCCCGCCCCGCAGGACCCAGCGGAGGAGAATGTATTCACTGCACCGCACACTTCCACTTCCAAGACTGGAAATGCGTGCCAGCCTGTGGCGAGGGCTGCTGCCCTCAGGAGATGCGGGGTTTGCTCCACAAAGTGTGCCAGAGGTACGTGCCCGTCAGATGGTCTTCCTGGCTCGGACCGACACTGCCGGTGCCCGCAAAGAGGTGGCAGGGGGACCGAGTCTGTTAGCCCTTCCCCGGCAGCTGGGGGACAGGTGTGCAGCATTTCACCACTGCGTCGGGTGTGGTGGGCACACCAGAACCCCCTTACACTGCAACCCCTTTGAGAGGAGGACTTGCCAAGGGCACAAGTTAGCAGGCAACGTTCATTCCTTGGTTCACTTAAGGAGTCTTTGTGGAGCTCCTGCTGTGTGCCAGGCACTGTGTAGCTGAGACAGGGCAGGAAACAGATCCTGGGGGACCTGCCTGGCAGGGCTCACACCCCAGTAGCAGACTCCACGGGGGCTCCCACCTGCACTGCAAGTCAGGGCGCAGGCGCGCTGCTGGGAAAGAAGGAGGCGGGCACCAGACCGGAGCGCTGCGCAGAGCCACTCGCTGGGAGGACGGGTTGGACTCAAGCCCCAGAGTGGCGTGGGCCAGCTCCTTCGATAAAGGGGCCTGGTGGTCTGTAGTCTCTGCTTTGCCGGCCACACGGTCTCGGTCACAGCTGCTCAACCCCAGCACGTGAAAGCAGACACAGACACCCTGCACATACACGAGTGTGAGGTGGCCCGAGAGCCTGAGGGTGCCCACCCTCCCCTGGGGTCACGGTGCCCTGGCTCCCATCTCTGGGCCAGGACTGGGAGGGTGCCTCCCTCTCCCTCGCCCCAGGGGACAGGCCAGTGTCACCACAAAGGAGGCTGAGCCTGGTGGACGCAGCAGCTGTCCCCGGGCAGGTCCAGAACCAGGCATGTCACATCCCTGGGTGGAGCCTTGTCCTGAGCCCCAACATTGCGTGAGGGTGTCCAGGTGAGCCCAGTGGAGTCTCGGAGATGCGGTGTCCGCCACTCCCAATGCGCTTCTGCTCCAGGCGCGCTCCCTCAATCGGGCTGTGAGCGTCTCCCCCCTCCCCGCACCACAGTGCAGTCAGACAGGAGGCTGGACTTGCAGACTCTTGGCCAGGGCTTCAGGCCACCGTGGGGGACACGGTCCCAGCCAGGGGGCACAGGTCAAGAAGGGAGGGCCTCTGGCACGTGCGGCAACAGGAAGCTGTGTCCCCGCGCAGGTGCAACCAGAGCTGCCTGAGCTGCGAAGGCTCCAGCAGGAACTGCAGCCAGTGTAAGACGGGCTCCACGCGGCTGGGGACCTCGAGCGTCGCCAACCACACCTGCAGCAACGGTGAGCTCCAGCTGCGTGATGGGTGCGCCGCGTCCAGTCCAAAGGGAAGGAAAACGCTGGGAAGGCAGCCCTGCCCCGCCCGAGGCTAGACTGTTCCGGGACCCCTCCAGCCTGCCTCCCTTCCTGTGAAGCCTCTCACATTGATCAGACACACATCCCGGCCACAACCCAGCAGCTGCTGGTCGGTTTGTGGAGCGACTCTTAAAATGACTTTGTTTTTGTGCTGGCTCTGCTCTCAAGCCATCACCCCCAGGTGGCCTGTGTGCCGTGAATTCCGTTAGGAGAGGCCTGGCTTTGGGGGTCAAGTCAGGAGGCCTGCAGGGTCTCTGCCTCACAGAGCCCACGGGCCCCCCAGGGCAGACCCCTGTCTGTGCCAGGGGGGAGCCCCGCTTGTCTCAGTGGACTGGGAGACGAGGGCGGGGTGTGAACACAGGAGCTCAGAGGAGACCAAGGACCAATCAGGGGAGCCCTGCCGAGGCCCAGAAGCTCCCTCTGTCGGGGTCACAGGTTGTGCGTCCAGCCCAGGACAGTGAGGTGGCCACAGGAGGCTTTCCGGGTCGCACGGACGGCATCGCATTCTCAAACACCAAGGGGAGGGCCGCTCTGCGTGGCTCTGCTCTGTCCCTGCCCCTTCCAGCCCTCCCCCGCCCCCCCCCCCCCCCCCCGCCACCATCTCCCTGGTTGGCCTCCCTGCTGTCTGGACAGAGTCGCACTGAGGCCACACTGGCACAGCCCAGGTGCGGTGCTCACGGGCCGGCTACCCCCCACCCCCACCCCGGCCCTTCTATCATCCTCGTCTTCCAGACTCAGCGGGAGCCCCTGCGTGCCACGTGCTGCCTCTGCCGTAGCGGGCTCACCACACGTCACCGGGATGGCCCTGAGGGCGGCCCTGGCGGCCCCCCCCCCCACTGTCTCTGTGGCCCCTGTCCCCTCATACCGTCGGGACCGGCACAGTGGGATGGTTGGGACAATTAAACAGGCCCCTAAGCCTGACCCGTGCCCCCTTTCTCTCCGCTTCGGTGCCCCAGCCGACGAGACATGCTGCGAGATGGTGAAGTCCAACCGCCTCTGCGAACGGAAGCTCTTCGTTCAGTTCTGCTGCCGCACGTGCCTCCTGGCTGAGTAGGGGCGCCTGGCCGCCCGCAGAGGGCAGGGCCGCTCCCGTCCGTCCGTCGGTCCGTCCACCCATCTCCGGACTGGGGGCCAGAGCCTGTTTCCGGGGCAGAGCCCTGCACCCGACAGCTTTATCTCCCGGGGAGCGAGGTCCTTCAGGCCGCATCTCTGGGCACCCGGGGGCGGGGGCAGGGCGCCTGCAGGGGCTGCCCCTGACAGCACTGTCCTCTCCCACTCCGCTTGCTGGCTGCATTCTTCCCGCCAACTGCACACGGGAACCACGGGAATCCTGGGAGTCTACAGCTCCGGCTGCTGGGACCATATGTTTACTGAATCTTCAAGACCAAAGCAGAAAGTCACGCCACTTGGCCTCCCATGTCACCCTCCCCCCGCCTCCCGCGGGCTTTCAAGCAGCTCCGAGGTCAATCTCAGCCACCAGGCCCAGCTCGCAGAACCTGGCTGTCCCCATGCGTGCTCGGTGCAGGGCTGGGCCCACACCTGCTCCCCCAGCTGCCACAGAGCAGTCCGGGGGAACAGTTTGGTCAGACTAGAGATAAGACAGATTGGGGGGCACACAGTGTCTGACCACCGGGCGTAGAGCATCTACTTCTACATAATCAGCGACCTCTGAAACAGCTGCAGTCGCTTAGAGAGTCAGATTCCAAACCCCGGGGACGGGGGAGGGTCTTCCTTCCCAGAGCACTCTCCTTTGAGTGAGCCAAGCGCCCTCCCCAAGCCCTCAGTCTGTGTCTGTGGGAGTCTCGTGGCCCTGGTCCATGCCTGCCTCCACCTGGACGCCCAGCCTTCTGAGGAGGGTCCCCAGCCGGTGTCTCGGGGGGCCAGCCAGGAAGGTGCCTCAATGACCAAGCGGTTCCTCCGACCGAGATGTCCGCCCAGCCCCTGGGTGGTTCACCATTCACGTCCCGGTGGGTGGGGTTGCTGCTAAAACCCATGTGCCCCCCCCCCCCCCGCGCTCCTCGGGATCCTCGTCCTCGAGGTCGGGGTGGCGGTGTCTGTGTGTGCCGCGAGCCCGGCAGCACGGCGGGCCCTCTTCCCGCCAAACCTGGGAGGGCGTTTTATAAGCTACATGTGTCTGATTTTTACCGACGTTCATTATTGTGACAAATATTTCATATGTTTTCATTGAAATGCACAGGTCGGCTCGATCGGCTCCCCGTCACGTGGGGGTAACATTTGCCTTAAATTCTCCTGAGCTTGTACTTCTCTCCTTGTCGGCCCGCGCCCCCTCTGACTGTCGCACGTCCTGCGACTGGTCCCCGCGAGCTTGGGGGGGGGGGTGCCCACAGGTGTTGGTCGCGTCCACGCCTCCGAAGAAGAGATCCGCAGAGCAAACACAGGGTTAGCCCTAAATTAATAAAACAGTTAACATCCCACAGCGAAGGAGCCTGTATTTCTCTCCAGGGCACAGACACTAAACTTAGGTGCCGACCAAGGCGGGAAATGGCTTTACTGTGGGGTTTCCGGATCTGTGCGAAGTCTTCTTGGGGCGGGGGGGTCTTTGAGCTCCAGCGCATGGTGAGGTAACAAGGTCATGGGGAGGTCCCAGAGTTCCAGCCAGAGGGGCTCTCCCCTAAAGCTGCCAGGTGTGGCTTAACTTAATTAGGTTGCAGCTCGTCTTTTTATGCACAGAGACAGATCCCCACGTGCACTTTTTTCCTGTGGCCTCTCTGCAGCGGCAGAAGCTTGTACTTGCCGGGCATCTTTTGGCTGCAAACACAGGAAATGCAGCAACAAGAACTGACGGAGGAAAGAAACAAAACTGGGACCCTGACTGGTGTGGCTCAGTGGGTTGGGTGTTGTCCCGCAAAGCGAAAGGTCGCCAGTTTGATTCCCAGTCAGGGCTCACGCCCGGCGTGAGGGTTCCATCCCTGGTGGGGGACACATACAGGAGGCAACCAATCAATGTTTGTCTCTCACACCAATGTTTCTCTCCTTCTCTCCCTCCATCCCTGCCTCTCTCTAAAAGCAATGAAAAAATGTCCTCAGGTAAGAATAAAATTTTTTAAAAAGACGGCCCAAATAAAATGCCTGTTTGCAAATGGCCCAACCTTAAGTGCATTCATCGGGACTCAGCGGGGGCAGGACACGTGTACGGAGCTCGTTTTGTGTGACAGAATCATGGAGCACGCTCTCTAAATCTGCCACGTCACGGACTGGGGCTCACAGGCGCGACGTGACTGGCGTGGGCTGCAACTGGCCGGGCTGCCCCCTTCCATGTGCCCAGAGAGGGAGGCGGGCTCTCTGTAGTGGGGAGAGTCACTGCTGCTGCCGGCCAAGCACAGCCACGGTGCATTCGGGTTCAACTAGGTTTATTTCCGGGGAGGGACATTTTTCTGACAGGGTCCCAGGTTCATATCCCCACCCCTCCCAGGCCGCTGCTGGCATTCTGCCTTGTGAGTCTGCCCAGGGCTGGGGAGAATCGTGCTCTTTACAGAAGACACATCTTGGGAGGGAGGCCGAACAGAGCTTTAAAAAAAGCAAAAGGGCAACATGGTGAAATGTGGCCAGCAGTATGGGTCCCTTGAACTTCAGACTGGACATGATCAGCCATTGTTTTTTTTTTTTGTTTTTTTTTTAAGATGTATTTATTTTTAGAAAGAGGGAAAGGAGGGAGAAAGAGAGGGAGAGAAACTTCGGTGAGAGGAACATTGATTGGTTTTCTCTCGCACGCCCCCTACTGGGGATTTATGGGCCCTGACGGAATCCAAATGGGGGCCTTAGGGTCTGCAGGCCAGTGCTCCGTCCACTGAGCCACACCAGCCAGGGCATCCACTGCTTTTAAACCATTTGATGAACAATCAGGGCTAAGGAGGGCAATATAAGGGGAGTAAATGGTAACGGGAAAAGTACAATAAAGACACAAATAAAAGAAAAGGAAGAACAAGCAGGGCTGATGGCAGGTAGCACACCAGAACTGTTCCCTGGCATCTTCAGGTTCTGCGCAGCCAGCGGGGAGGCAGCTGAGCACTGGCTGCCATGGGAAAGAGGGGCCTGCCCCGGCCTCCTCTGCCCCTCTCCTTCCTTGAACCCAGTCCTTATCCTTCCTGGCTGGTTGTCCAAGGCCTTTCCTGATACCCCAGGCCCTGCGGTTTGTCCGTGCACAAAACAGCACCCCTAGATGGTGCGACGCTGAACACCCATCTCATGCCCTGGGGTTCAGTTCCCACCACCCGAAGTTCCCATCCTCTTAGTAGATAATGGCTATACTAAGGGTGATCAGATGCCTCCTAGGCTCCCTGGTGAGTGAACAGGCACTCAAGTACCCAGAGCAGAGATCATCTTGTTGCCCAAAAACAGCGATTCTCAACCTGGGGTGGTTCTTGTCTCCTTGGGGACATCTGGCAATGTCGAGGTGTTTTGGGGTTACAGCTGGAGGAATGTACTGACATCTAGTGGGCTGAGGCCGGAGATGCTGCTCAGCCTCCTGAAATGCACAGGACAGCTCTCGCAATAAAGAATCATCCAGCTTCCAAATGTCAACTGTACCAAGTTGAGAAACTCTAGCCCAAAGAATTTAAATTAAAAAAACCCTTTCTCGACCTCATAGAGATACCCTAAAATTAATAAAACTTTCCAAGTTTGATTCATCTCTCAGATCCTGTGCTGAAGCAACAGAAACTCATACAAATTTCCTTTCTAAAAGTAAAGAAACCTTTTTTTTTTTTGAAAAAAATCCAGCCAGCCAAACAGCGAGTAAAACCAGCTCTGTGATCTAAGCCCGCCACCTGGTGGGCTTCTCTGGAATTATGTGAAGTTTGGATATTTTTAACTTTTTTTTTTTAACAATCACAAAACAAAATTATGGAAGAGTTGCATAGCACAAAGAAATTTTCTTGTGAACAATTTGAAAGAAAGTTACTGATATGATACACTGTTAACCCCTAAATATTTTAGGGGCTATTTCCTATAAACAAGGACCTTCTGCTGCATAACCAACAGAATCAGGAAATTCCCTTTGATATATTACTACTGTCCAATCTGACTGGATCCAAATTTTGCCAGTTGTCCCAGGAATGTCCTTAGCGAAGTGATCCAGTTTAGACCACATTTGCACTTAGAGTCACACTCTGCGTTTAACCTTCGTGTCTCTGGTCTTCTTCAATCTAGAACAGTTCCTCGACCTTTCCTTGACTTTCATGACCTTGAACCCTTTAAAGACTGAGGCTGTTATTGGCAGTTATCTGTAGACTGTCCCTCAGTGTGTTTGTCTGAGGTTTCCTGGAATTTCTATCTAGTTCACGTGTCCTTACTTCTGTGAGGAATCTTGCACAAGTAGGAGTAGTCTAGGCCCTGGCCGGGTAGCTCAGCTGGTTAGAGCATCATCCCCACAGGCCCAAGTTGAGTGTCTGATCCCTGGTCAGGGCACGTACAAGAAGCAACCAATGAATGCATGAATAAGTGGAACAACAAATGGATGTTTCTCTCCCCCCAACCAATAAATAAAATTAAGAAAAAAAGAACTAGTATAAAAATCGTAAAAGACGAAATAAAATTATCATCCTCAGATCGGAGGCTTTCGAAATAGTGTTCCTTTTCGGCACCCTGGCGGCAGCTAGCAGGTGGGCTCACTCTGTGCTCATTCGTTACGGTTCAGACTTCTGATCTGCGCAGTTTTCTGTAAATCCTGCGTCAGTAGAAATATTTAATTGTCAGAACTCCATCATACCCGGTGCTTGGTCTGAAGTGCCAGCCGGTAGGGCGGTCCCAGAGGTCTGGCCACGAGCGGGCGATCCATCCCCGGTTCTCACGTTGCAGCCCGGTGCCAAAGACCAGAGCCCGTACGGGAATCTAAGGTCCTGGACCCACGGGTTGCCGCCCCTCCCGGGTGGAGTGAGGACTGTCGCAGCTTTCCGTTCACCTCCAAGTGCAAAGGCACGTGAGAATGTCCCACTCGTGTGCTTTAATATATTGCTTAACTAGCGGATACACATGTGTGGAATCAGGGTCCCTCCTGATTCCAGACACGCCCCAGGGAAAGGAACCAGAACCAGGGACGTAGTCCAGGTGCGCTAGGATCTCAGAGCAGAATGAGATCCGGGGCGTGGCTCTTCGATTGCTTCGGCCTGGACGTTGAGCTGCGGGCGCGTGCATCGTGCGATTGGTGCTGCCTGGCGGCGGGCGCAGGGCACGCCGGGACTTCTGGCTGGCGGGAGGCAGCCGGCGCGCGGCGCGCGGCGAGTAGGGGAGTACGGCGATCGGTGATCGAATCAGCATATCAGAAGATGGCTTTAGGAAGGGCGGGCAGAGCAGCTTCTCTGGGGAGGAGCTAATACAGCCTTGGCCTGAAATTTGCTCCCGTGGGGACCTTAGGGTCTCAGGAGGCGGCACTATTTTCTGCTTAGACTCCTTGCTGACAAAACCCAGTTCTTTTATTTTGATGAAATTAAGTGCCTTAGAGAAAGATTCAGTTTAAGAGTAACTGACCACTCTCGCTGCCTTGGCCCAGGGAACCTCTGCCTTCTCCCCGAGCCTGCAGTGCCTGGAGTGTTGAGGATCCTGGTTTGGGTCCTTGTCTTTGATGTAGCCCTTCCACCGCTGAATTGTGTACTGTAACCTTGGCTGGGTTCACCTCTTTTCTAGCAAGTAACACAATAATTATGTGCATAGTAGACACGCCGGTGAGCACTTGAGTGAACCGTGCGTAGAGCGATTTACCATTGTGTTTAAACCATTGACTTTCAACTGTGGATTGGAGCCGGGGGAGGTGAAGTAAGGAGAATGTCATGGTATGGTGATGCTACCCTGTGAGTTCCATGAATGCGACACTGTTGTCCACCGTGTATATGAAAAAGGTGTGGACGCTTTCTATAAGCAAATCATCGTGTGAATTCCTGTTACATCACTTAACTAGCCCCGGGGCCGTACAGAACGGTGTGAGGCACCTTACAGGTGTTCTCACAAGCCTTAGCTACCAGTGTCACTGCTGGTGAGTATCGCCATCAGCACCGCCCTTGACCTTGTCGTCACCACTGTCTTCGTGACCACCACTGGACCGCAGGATTCGTGGCAGCGGGGTTTGAGCCTCTCTTGTCCCTCACTCTATGGGCCAGTGCCTTGCAGTGTTTGGCGTAGGTGCTAGTAAACCCCTTCTGAATGAATGATAGCTTTGAGTCGAATTACCAGGAAGTACTGCTAATGTGTTAAGATTCCCTTTAATTCTATTAATACTTGATGGATTTATTTTTTTTTCTACTTCATAGGGTATAAAATTCCTGTCATTGAAAATCTGGGTGCGACTTAGGCCAGTTTGATGGTATTGATTTTTCTGACAATGAAATCAGGAAACTGAATGGATTTCCTTTGTTGAGGAGACTGAAAACATCACTGGTGAACAACAACAGAATATGGTGTCTGCTAATGGGGAGTATTTTTCCC